GGAGCTTCCCTACCTTCCTCCGAATCCTCCATGTCCCGACAGCCGGAGCGAGTCAGCTTAGAGCGGAGCTGGAGAGAAAACATACCTTTCCTCAGGTAGCCATCCTGCCCCAAACTCCCGGCTCCCCCGGGGTGCAAGCCAGGCCACAAGAGCAGGAGAATGCCCGGGAGCTGCAGCTCCCCGCCGCGTCGGTCGCCACCGGGGAAGGTGCAGCGCGCTCCCGCCCCACCAGGTGACCGCGGCGTCGCCTCTCCTCACCCGGCACGGTCAGAACGCCCATCCTCTCCTCGCCACTACCCTCTAGGATTTTCCTGCCACCTTTCCACCCCCCCGTGCCACACCCACGCCGCTCCTCCAGCCCATCCTCAGTTTCCACTTCCCGCCCCACCTCACCTCCTACCAAAAAGCTTTCTTCCAGAGCCTCGTCCAGGGAAAGGGCTCCTAGTGGGCGGGGCTCCTTTCGAATCTCTCAGGCCCCACCCACTCCTGCCACACGTGCACGGTGATTGGCGGATCCGGCCGGAAGTCAGCTGGTGACGGCAAGGGAGGCGGCACGGGACAAACCTTCCCAGAAAGCGTTCATGCCGCGGGGTCCGCACGGGGCGGCGGGTGGAGGCCCCGAGTGTCCGCGCGCGCCCCGGAGCTCCTTCCCCTTGGGCTCCCAAGGTGGGAGCCGAGCGGAGGCGGGCCCGGAGGGGGCGGGGCCTCGTGGCGGCGCGCGAGGGGACGCACCAATGGGAATGGGCTTCGCGCCACGCCTCCTCCTCCTTGCCGCCGCCCCCTCCTCCTTCCGGCCCGCGGAGACCTTGGTGATCTGGCCCCGCAGCTCCCGGGGGAGGTTGCCTTATGTCCGGCGAGTTGCATAGAAAAGCCTTACTTTTGCCGTGTACATTCAGTGACTTTTCCAAGTTAAGGAAGCACCTAAATCTTTTTTTTTAATTTAGATTTATGGAGGTTGAGAAGTACACCTCTATTCCTTTTTAAAGCAAGAACATTCGAAATTACTTAAGACTGAAAATGGTGCAAAGAAAACACAGCGAACGCGCCCAAAATGTAAAGAAAACTGGTCTTTCATCCTGGGAGATATGGGTTCAAGAGCCATCCTGACTCCCGCTTAGAAGCGGGGTAGGCTTGAGTACACTGGCTCCCTTCGGCCGCTGTGCTTGTGACAGAAAGGTCTTCGCAGGTACAGGATGAAGAGGAAAAGATGAACATCAGATTTTATATCCTTTAGGTCCCTTTAGGGGCTTTGAAGGAGTGCTTTGTAACTAGCCCTTTTAGAACTAAAATCTGTTTGTAAAATGCTTACTCCTTCTACTAGATATGTTCTCTACATGTGCTTAGAAACGTTCTAAAAATTCAAAGTGAAAGAGTGTAAGAGGGTGACAGAGGAACTTTCTTGTGAACAGTTTACGACCATTACTTTGGCTATGTTTCCTTTTTAGGTTTTGGCTGCAAAGTTGAGGGTGAGGTGCGCCAGAGGCAAATAAATGCTTCAGGGAGCAAAGGAGGGGTGGAATTTAGCTGTGTGATAAGGGAGAGAGAAGAGGCCCGGGACTCAGCCGAGAGTCCAGGGTTTGGTCCCCGCTGGACCAGATGGAATGTTAGTGCCTTGCAGCCCTCGCATTCACAGAGCCAGGAGCTTTTGTCTCTCGGGGCACATAGTGGCCCCAGTGAGAGGGGGAGATGCTGTGAATTATCTGCATTTTGCTTGCCCTGAGAGCATCCTGAGTCGGGTATTCCTAGCCTCTTTCCCCACCCTGCAGGCTGGGGTTAGCAGTAGAAAGTTAGTTTGGAAACTGTTACACTTCCAGGGGGAAAACAATGGAACTCCTTTTTCTCCATCAGAATGACATCAAAGCCAGTAAGTACTTCTTTAGGCGCAAGAATCTGTCACCTAGCATAAGGCCATGATTCTGGAAAATACTGAATATTTGTCCCTCACCCTTCAACCTCAAAATGATGTATATAAGTAGCTGTTTAAGATTTTGGATAATGATGAATCAATGAAGAATTTAGACTCCCTCTCAAGCACATAGTAAGCCTTAACCCACAAGATATAAGTGTCTAATGCACACATGAAAAATTAGGGGTCTCAGGGAAATGCTAAAGGATTAACTGCGACTGGAGGCCTTGCTCAGTGTTTTGGAGGTGTGCCAGTGCCTGGGACCTGCCTGCTCCAGCAGGGGGAGGCTGCTCTGCCATTGTGTGCTTGGGTGGCCGGCCGGTTCCGGGCTCTAATCCCTCGCCCCACATTCTCAGGCAGCATTTCCACAAGTATGTTAGGTCAGCAAAATGATTTGCAACACTTTCTTAAATTTTCCAAGCAGGGTATATAGATAGTAATGTTGTTGGGTTCTGGGGCTCTGGGGAACCCAGAGATTCTTTCTAGGTTCTTCTTGTCCTGAATAAAGAACTGAACAAAACGGGTAAAAAGGTAGCAGAGCGTTACATTTATTTATTTTATTTTATTTGTGGAACCGGGGAGTGAACTCAGGCCCTTGCACTTGCCAGGGAAGCACTTATTCCACTAAGCCCGGGCCCTATGTTTATTAAAGATAGAAAAATAAACATGCTCTGCAGAGCAAGCGTGGACCAGTTCAAAGGAGGAAAAGGAACACACTCCGCTGGTTAAGAGCAGACCACAGTGAGAGGGAGAACACAGAGGCCAAGGCCCAGTGGCAGCTGTCTTCTGTATATACCACTCCTCAGACCCACATCAGCTCTAAGCTGTCCTGTCAAAAACCTGTTCTAGCTCCTGCTAGAGGAACTGAAGAGCGCATTCTCTGATTGGTCCAGGTGCAGGGCTTGGGAACTGCTTTTCTGTGTATTTCCTGGATCTCCATTAATGACAGGTCACACTCACTTGCTAAGCAGGTTTGCCATACCCTAATCTCCTGTCTCTTTAATGTCTTGGATGCAGAGGAAGGAGTTAACTTATAATATACAATGGCTGTCTTGTGACATTCTCATAGGACTCCTCCTCACGAGAAAGACAGTTGGCTTCAACTGAAACTGGATATTTGGTCTGAACAGAAGAACCTTTCCACACACTTCTTCACCAAATCACATGCCTTTCTGAAGTTGGAAATTGGTCACACGTGGCAGGGTGAGGTAAGGCAGGTCCGAGAACAAAGAACACCCAAGGCAATCCATGTGGACAAGCTGCCTCAGTCCAGAGAACACCAAGCACCAGACAATCCAAGCAATTGGTTGCTAGGCAAAGTGGTGTCATGTGACACCAACCTAGCAAATGTATAAATAAATGCCCTACAGTAGTTGAGTGATCCCTTTCCCCCCATCAGGGAAGAGGGCTTCACCTGCTCTCAGCTTTTGTCTCATCTTTATTATTCTTTTTTTTTTGTGGAACTGAGGATTGAACTCAGGCCCTTGCGCTTGCCAAGCAAGCACTTATTCTGCTGAGCTATCTCCCCAGCTCCTCCTACATCTTTATTTTTCTATCTTCTTACTGCTTCCTTCCCAGGGGGAGCTTCAAGAACATCACTGGAGGCAGTACCTTTCCTCTTCAAAACCTTGAATAACATTTATTGCCTCCTGGAAAAATGTTTCTTTCTTAAACTGATGATTCCAAGCCAGAGCCACTAGGTGAAAGAGATGAGAGGAAACTGGAAATTCTTTGAGTTAAATCCTATCTCCGCTGCTTACCAGGTACATGACTTGGGGGATTCATGAACTTCAACTTTTTCATTTGTAAAATGCAGATTAAAAGAGACGAGGGGCTGGTGAGATGGGTCAGTGGTCTAAAGCACCGACTTAGAACAAGCTAAGCTAAGCACAGGGCCCGCGGTTCAATCCCCCAGCACTACATGCCAGCCTGGTGGGCTGAGCTGGCCACACACACACACACACATAAATAAATAAATAAATAATTAAAAAAAAGAGACGAAATCATTTAATCAGTATGCGATGTAAAGTCTTTTATATATTTGCTTTGCTTTTGCAGTGTGGAGGATCAAGCCAGAGTCTTGAACTTAGTAGACAAGTTCTCTACCACTGAGCTCTTCCTTAGTCCCAGTTGTCTAGTATTATGTAACAATCCACTTCAAAAAATAGTGGCCATAAGCACCAGCCATTTATTTGCTTATGATCTTATACTTGGGCAGGGCTCTATAGGAATGAGTTGTCTCGATTCCACAAGGTCGATTGGGCCTGAGCAGGGCTGGGGAATCTCATGTGGCCACATGCTTAGGGCCATGGTGCAGGCTGTCAGCTGCTTGCGTATCTTCCATATTTTGATGTCCCTCAAGTGGCCAATGATAATTCAGTAATGTAGCCTGAGATTCTCTGTTTGAGAGCTGACTTCTAAGAACAAAATCAAAACCTATTACACCTTAAGTAGTAAAACTACTACACCCCTGCACCAGGCCTAGAATTGCTACAGCATTATCTCTGCTAGGTGCTACTTTTTTTTTAAGAAATAACATTTTATTTTATTTTTATTTTATTTATGTGTGTGTGTGTGTGTGTGTGTGGCCAGCTCAGCCCACCAGGGGGCGGGCTGGCTGGCATGTGGTGCTGGGGGACTGAACCGCGGTCCCTGTGCTTTGCTAAGCTTGTTCTAAGTAGGTGCTTTAGACCACTGAGCCATCTCAACAGCCCCTAGGACTGTGTCTTTAGCTATATATGTGTGTGTGTGTTTTGCTATTTACTGTTTGGTGGTAGATGTGTACCGTGTTGCCCCACTTACAGTGGAAAGCCCATAGGGGAAGAGAGAAAGTCACTTTCTCTTTCCAGCATCTCCTACTATGTAGAGTTGAATTCAGTTTTGTCATAGATCATCTAAAAGGACAGTGTTAGAGACCTCTATGGAATAAAAGGTAGATATAGGAAGAGAAAGAGGAGCCTTAGGGCACTGGAACTCCACAGTTTGGCTAAAGGATTCCAACTTTCTAAATAGTTTTCCCACGTGGAAAGTCTCAAACAGAACACTCATCCACTGAGGAGCCACAGATTTATTTAGAGTACCCCAAACCAGGCTTTGTGCTAAAGTGAGTCAAGAGTACAGTCTTGTCCCAGTCAGGCTTCCTGGAGACCCTGAAAAGAGAAGGTGTGTTGGGGCTAGGGAGATGGCTCAGTAGAGTAAGCGCTTCAATCCCTGGTTCTGCCAAGAAAAAAAGAGAGAGAGAGAGAGAGAGAGAGAGAGAGAGAGAGAGAGAGAGAATGTATGTTGTAGCCATTGTAGCAAACAGCCAGAGCACTTCTGGGTCACCGAGCTGACCCTTCTGCGGTCCGTCCCCAGACCCGGAGCTATGAACTCATTGCTTGCAGTAGTTTACCTCGTGCTGGGTCCTGACGTGGTGGTGGTGGGGGGAGCAGCTCACCCCAACACCATGCAACACAGCATCAGCCCAGAGTGAGCAGAGAGAAGACAGAGCTGCTGAGCAAGCCAGCTGGCAGAGGGAGCTCTCCTGAGGGGAATGTGTGCTTTTAATGCTTCTCTTAGGGTTTTTATTTGCTATGTATCAAAGACGGGCTTAAATAAATGGCTTAGGGGATTGAATTGATTCTCAATTTTCCTCAGTCAGGAGCTCAGCTCAGAGGAGATGGTGAGAGCTGGCTCTCACTCTTACAAGCTTCTTTTCCCCCCACCTTATGCATCAAAGTAACACATCTTTTACTGTGAATCATTTAGAATTTGAAGGAACTACCAGATTCTAAATGATGATCTGGCAGCCCTTTGCCTATAATGAGAACTTCCTAATCAAGTGTGAAATTATTGTTAACCTATAATTAAAATGGTGAGCCAGTTGTGGTGGTGCACACCTATAATCCCAGCACTTGGGAGACTCAGGCAGAATTGCTGCTAGTCTGAGGCTAGCCTGAGCTACAAAGTGAGTTCAGGGCTAGCCTGGACTACACAGTAAGACCCTGCCACAAAAAAAAAAAGAAAAAAGAAAAAAAAAAAAGATATTCTTCACTTAGGAAGAAATGCATGATACATGAAATTTAAAGTATTGTAAAACATAAATGGGGCTTGTTACCCTTCTTGTAAAACTGAGGTAGAAGTGCTTAACCCTTCTCTCTGTGTTGAATACTCCTGTCTGTCCCTTCACTCGTTACCATTCCCTGGACATCTTTTTCATGCCTGCCCAGCTCCTCCCACAAAGCCCTCACAGTTCAGAAGTTCTTACCCTTCTTCAGAGAACCATCATGTTTGATTCCTGTCAGCAACTTGGGGAGTACAGACATACAAAGGATGTGACAAAATCAGACATCATCTATGACAAAATCCCTCCACAGGGGCGATAGTATTAGCTTTAAAAAAGAAGTGGTCACAAGGGGTGTGTAGTTGAGAGGCTCAGGAATAGACATCTGTTACAGACTGAACAACATGAGTTGCAAAATGGAACAGTCCATTGAGATGCCCGGCCCCTCTTTCCTTACCTTTCTCAGGTACTCTGTCCTTGTAGATTGTCTCAATAAGGAGCTGCAAGAATGCAGACATTTCTCAGTGTTAGCATCTCAGAAATTTCTGAGAAACTTTCTTTTAGAGCATTAGGCAAGGATATTGTAGTGTAAGTTTGGGGGAGTCAAACTTAACTTCCACAAGTTAAAAAGTCTATACAAAAAGCCTAGGACACTTAAAAGCCCATTCATTCCTCATCCATGCAAACACTTAGTGTCCACTGTGTATGAGAAAGCAGGCTGGACACTGCCTCCACCCTCGCTGTGCTTATAGCATAATAGTAAAATTGATTTATAGATAATTATATGTATTTGGTACAGGGTCTCACCACACAGCTCGGATTCGTAGCAATCCTCCTATTTTCAGCTTCCCCACCTCTGGGATTACAGGTGTGAACCACCACGCCTGGTCTCAGTGGCTGGTTTAGTATGCCCCAGTGGTGGGGCTAGCAAGGCATGTGGTGCCAGGGATCAAACCCCGGTCCCTGCGCTTGCCTAAGCAGGCTCATAGATAATTATATAACAATATGCTAAATACAGTAATGGAGAGCTAAACAAGGTGCTAGGAATGGATTTATTATTATCAATCATCATCATTATTATTTGAGATGAGGTCTTGCTATGTAGCCCAGCTTTTCCTTGAGCTCACGGAGTTGCTGGGCTTGGCCTCAAACTCACGTCCTCCCTGAGCTCCCAGGTGCTGGGATGGTAGGCAAGGGCCGCCACCCCTGGCTGAGTGAGTACTTTTAAGAGGTCAGGAGGATGTGCACTATCACCTTTAAACCAGAAGGAAATGGAAAAGAAAGATGAGAAAACGCGCATAGCTTTCTGGGACTGAGTTAGAAGACGGTGAAGGATAATGAGAAAGGAGCTGAGTGAGGATCAGAGACCGGAGCCCTTTCTTGTACTGGGTGGGCTCCTGGGTAACTGACCCTGGAAAGCCTGGGAAGCCAGTTAGCTCCGTGTGCCTCTGGTTTCTCCTTTGCAAATGGAAATAACCTTTCTTCCTACAGTACGGACTTGTCATGGAGAGAAGCAGAACAATAGATAATAAAAATGGCTCCACAAATACGTCCAAGTATATTCCAACAGTGATGAGGGGGCCCAGGGAAGGAAGCCCTTCTCCACCTGCGTCTCCACCTGTGTCTGTCTCCACCTGTGTCTCCTCCACCTGCTGACTTTTCCCTTCAGGCCTCCCGCCCTTACCTTTCACATCCACCCGGCAGTCTACAGATGCCTCCCCCAAGGCGTTAATTGCTTTGCAAGTGTAGATGCCTCCATCAAAGGGACTAGGCTTCCGAATTTCCAGGGAGCAGATTCCCAGGTGGCTGAGGGCTCGGTACTTAGGGTTGCCTTGTATAACCATCTTGTTCTTCAGCCAGACGATCTTGGGCTGGAAGATAAAGATGAGGGGTAGCAAGGGGACCTTAGGGCCGATTGCTTTTCTTTGCTCAGCACTTGGGATTCTTTGTCTACAGGACTTGTAGAGACTCCCTGTCCCTGATGCGAGAAGGGGTTCCCCTTCCAGTACCTTTTACAGTCCCCCAAGCTCCTCTTGGTTGAAAAAAACAAGTTATGATTGACTGGAAGAAAGGTAGCAAATTCTTTCTAATTACTTGAGCAGCCTTTCGAGATCAGAAGACACAGAAGCCTAGGGCCTTTTTCATATATAGTGTATATGTATACTGTGACCCATCCATATTCTTTCTGTACCCACTGTTGGCTTGTGAGTGGATTTTCTCTTCTGATAAAAAGTAGTTTGTAGGGTTGGCCAAATAGCTCAGCAGGTTAAAGTGCCTGCAAGTAGGCACAGCAGCCAGGGTTCGATCCCCAGGCCTGCCATGCTGCCCCACCCCCAGGGCACGCTGAGCTGTCAGCTGAGACTGGTCCTGGTGGCTTGCACCTGTAATCCCCAGCTCTTGGGAGGCTGTAACCAGGCGGATCACTACCAGTCTGATCTAGAAGTGATACCCTGAACACCCTGTAGACCTTTTCCTAAAATACAAAAAAAAAAAAGTTTGTAGAGTGGGTTTATTGAAATTCCCCTTCCAGGTGCTACTTTCAGGAAGCACTGCCCAGCACTCAGAACCCAAATGATATCTGGTAAAGCTTGCTAATAATGTGGATTATGGTGACCAGAGTATAAGGCCAAAGCCTCACTCAGGGTGGCAGCCAGTGGCTCAGCCAGGCGGCCCACATGGGCATGGCCCTGCCCAGAAAGGTAGGGGCAGTGGTGAGGAGCAGCCTGCAGGCCTCCATGTCTTGTACCGGAGAAACGATTTAACGGCAATAGGTCAGGAAGTGAGAGGAAACACATTAGCATTATCCCAGCTTGACCTGCAAGTGTCCTGGCTGTTCCTAAGTAACCTGCTATGTACAGGCAGATAGTGGCAATGATAGTACATGTGAAATAATAATTATTATTATATTTTATTTTTGGGGGGGTACCAGGGATTGAACCCAGGACCTTGTGCTGGCCAGGCAGGCGCTTATGCCACTGAGCTCTCTCCCCAGACCCTGTACACATATTAAATTAGAATGCTCTGTAACCTAGCAAAAGTTAGGGTGGGACAGGAGCCGGAAGCAGCACTCCCGCCCCTCTTCGCCACTCACCTTGGGAGAGGCACGGACACAGCAGAAGAGCTGGGTATCATAGCCAGTGATGGTCGTGCAGTCTACCAGAGGCTGGGTGAACTTTGGAGCCTCAGAGAAGTCCCGCTGAGCAAATCCCTTGGCCTTGTATATAGAAGCTGTAGGACAGGAGGCTCCCCAGTACATATCTGACAGCCCCATACCTCTTCCACTCTTTTTCCCCTAACCCCCTCAGCATGCAGCCTCCACCCTTCCTTACCTGCTTTTTGGATGTGAGCAAGGTCAACAGTGACGGGGGCTGTCTCACTGAGCCCACACTGGTTTTCAGCGAAGACGCGGAAGGCATAGGAGTTGCCCACGATAAGGTCAGAGACGACGCAGCTGGTGCGGTGATAGCGTTCCAGCACAGTGAACCACAGCTGCAGGGTCCCCAGAAGATGTCGTGTGTGAGCCACCGTTTATGAACTCGTCCCACAGGGAGCTGCCAGGTGCTCGGTCCAGAATGTCCCACTCCTCCCTCCCTCCTTCCCAGGGAGGCCTCACCCCAGATTTTGTGTCCGCCTTCTGCACTGTGTATCCCAGGAGCACTGTATTGCCTGTGTCTTGGGGAGCTGTCCATTCCAGGGTAGCGTTGGAGCCCCAAACATCCACCAGCTTAACATTCTGGGGAGGGCCTGGCCTCTCTAGAAGAGCAGAGCCATGACAGTGACATAGTACTGTCACCTGGCGAGCATTGAAATCTCTTTGGGAGCAGCCCTGACTCAGTCTCTTCCCACACTCCTGCCCTTGCCCAGACTCAGCGTGGAGGGCTATCACCCTGCTCCCAGCTCCCTGTGATGGAGTCTTTTCAACTTGAGAGGGGGCTCCTGGGGACCACCTCTCCCCCCACATCCCCCCAAGTTACCGATCACCAGGATGTCAATAGCGGCGGTGGCCTCTAGCCCACCCAGCTGCACGCTGAGCTGGTAGCGGCCCGAGTCGGCACGTTGGGCTTCCCGGATGAAGAGGATGGAGTCTTGCTCCCCACTGCGCACACTCACGTGACTGGCGTCCAAGGCACACCCATCACGTGTCCAGGTGGCCCGAGCTTTGGGCTTACCCTGAGGAATGGCGGTACGGTGAGCAGCCCAGCAGGTTTCTGGACTTCCCTGTCAGATCCACCCCACGTCCACCCACAGGGTAATCTGGCTTACAGCTGTAAATTTCTTTCTTTCTTTTTTTTTTTCATGTATTTAGTACAGGGTCTGCAGGCTCTCACTACACAGATCAGACTCATGATCCTCCTGTTTTCAGCCTCCCAAGCTCTGGGATTACAGGCGTTCGCTACCACACCCAGTCTTAGTCTCCGTCTCAGCGCGCCTCAGGGGGCAGGTCCGGCACAGCACGCGCAGGAGCTGTAAATTTCTTGAGCTAAAGGTTGGAGGACTCTGCCAGGGGACTTGCTCTTATTTATTTATTTATTTATTTATGTGTGTGTGGCCAGCTCAGCCCACCAGGGGGCGCGGCTGGCTGGCATGTGGTGCTGGGGGATTGAACCGCGGTCCCTGTGCTTTGCTAAGCTTGTTCTAAGTAGGTGCTTTAGACCACTAAGCCATCTCACCAGCCCCAAGGGGACTTGCTCTTTTCAGCAATGGCCTCAAGATCATGAGGAAAGAGGATGGCTGAGTGTCCCCCCTCTGAGAGTTTAATCAGGACACCCAGAGGAGCTGGGACCCAATGGAGAGGAGCCCAATTCCCAAGGGCCCTCCAAACTGAGACGCTTCCCGAAGTCCCAGCCTGAAGGGCACAGGTTAGTCTCACTTCCTCTCAGAGGGCGTGCCTGACCCTACCAAGCCCACCCTCAGGAGTGCAGAGCACGGGGATCATGTAGCTTCAGGAGTCTAGTGACCGTGGCTCCTCTATCCAAGGCCTAGAAGGCCGCCCCTCTGCTGGTAGCACTCTTGGTGCCTGTTTCCAAATAAAACCTGAGCCTGGACCCAGCAAGGCCTGGATTCCTCACCTGGAATGGGATTAGTAGGTTTATTGTGTCTCCGACCTTCCGGATGTAGGTCTGCTTCAGGGCCCGAGGTAGCCAGATCTTGGGGTGTTCTGAGTAGTGGAAAGGGAGAAGATAGGAGGTAAGTATTGAGAGGGAGCAGATACTGCACAGTTGACTCTGTGGGTGGTGGCTCGGGCACCTGCATGCTGCATGAAATGAAGCCTCTGCCTCAGGTGTCCAAAGATTACTCCCATTGTCTTTTTTTTTTTTTTTTTGGTAGTGATGGAGATTGATAGGCAAGCGCTCTACCACTGTGCTACACTCCCAGTGCAGTACCGTTGTCTTGCTGGTACTGAGGGGTAAGTGAATGGCTGAAGGAAAGAGTTAAAGTCTGTAGAAAGAGCGTGGGAACATGAGCTTGATGTTTACTTCTTTTAACTTATAACTGTCCTCACTGACTTTCATCAGCTGGGATTTTGCCTCTGTCTGTGCCCAGACCCGTCTGGTTTGTGTGCCTTGTCTTTCCAACCCTTCCTATGGGTCCTTCATAACCCTGTTTGCACCATCTGACCTTGCAGGCTGCTGTGGGCTTAGGAGAATGCTTCCCACGCCACAGGCAGTCAGCGCTGAGACTCCAGCAGCCCCCTACTGAGACAACACTGAAATCATCAGAGAGGGCCGGTGTCGGGGCCCTTCCCCTGGTGGCCGCCTTCTCCCTGGTGCCGGTGAGGAATTCTGCCAGGTGGTGGAAGATCACTTTGTACAAACAAAATCTGGGAAAGACTAGGGTCACCATTCACTTCCCCTTGAGCTCCCAGGCTTGTACCAGCAAGAAGTGAAGATTAGATGGCATGTATTTGCTTTCTGGATGAAGACAGGAGATGCTTCGTGTAAGGCTTTGAGGGTAACTAGCTGTCATTTCTGTCCTCTCACAGATGCTCCAGGCCACCTTGACTGGAACAGAGCCCACCTGGGTTTCCTAGGAGCCTGACACCGTTTTCCAGGCCGCCTGGGACTGCTGTTTTCCCCTTTCGTAAGCAAACACAGTCCCTTGCTGCTGCTGCTGCTGCCTTAAGCAGAATGTAACGGGCTTCGGTTCCCACCGACAGCTCAGGCCTCCCTGCCAAAATCCAGTTCTGGCTGTTGGGGAAACTCCGCCCTGAGTACATTCCTGTGGCAAGGAACATGACTACTTGCTAGCAGATTTCAAATTTTTTGATAACACACACTTCCCTGTGAGTACATTCCTGAGCACTCACCAGGACACAAATATGTTTATTTAGAGACGGAACGCTATAAATATATAAATGACTGCTAAGTGTGCTGGTGCATGCCTGTGATCCTAGCTGCTTGGGAAGCCGAGACCAAAAGAGTTCAAGGCCAGCCTGGGCAATTATCTTAAAAATAATAAAACAAAATCTGAAACAACAAAGATGTATATTATACAAAGTAGATTTAAGTGGTGACATGTAAAGCAAAATAGAGGTCCTACTCTATTCTTCATGCACCTCGATTGGTAGGCAAGCCGCTGCATTAGTGTATCAAGGTCCCTTGTGATTTGTAAATGAATTCCATCAGAAAACACATTCTTCTCAGCTGCACATGGATTTTTCCAAAATAGATCACACACTAGGTCATAGAACATGCTTAAGTAAACACAAGGGAATAGAAATCATCCCATGCATATTATCAGACCATAGTGCAGTGAAATTGGAAATCAACAGCAAAAGAAACCATTAAAAATTCATAAACACATGGAAATTCAATAACACCCTCCTGAACAATCAATGAGTCACAGATGAAATTAAAGGACATATTATACATTTTCTATAATTAAATAATAATGTCAATACAACAAACCAGAACTTAAGAGACTGCTTTCACTGTGTCCCTTAAGAGAGAAATTTAGAGTGGTGAATTCCCATGTCCAAAAATCAGAGGGAGCTCAAACAACCTAATGTTGAACCTCAGACTTATAGAACAAGAAGAGCAAGACAAGCCCAAAACTCATGTGAGGGAGGAAATTATAAAGGTCAGAGCAGAAGTTAATGCAATCGAGACTAAGGATACAATACAAAGAATCAATGAATTGAAGAATTGGTTCTTTGAAAGATTAAATAAAATATTCAAACCCTTAGCCAACCTCATTAAAAAAAAAAAAAAAAGAGGGCGGGGAAGGACTCAAATCTATGCAATGAAGAATGAAAAGGGTCAAATTACAATAGATATTACAGAAAACCGGAAGATCATCAATACTGTATTTACTCTGAGTATCTGTATTTTAATAAAATTGGAAACTTGGAAGAAACAGATTCCTAGATACATATGAACTTTTTTTTTTTTTTTTAAATTATTTATTTATTTATTTTAACATTTATTGTGT